CTATTTTAAAATGTCAAAGCCACAACCATCTCACCCCGGCAAGCCCGGCGGCACATGGAAACCAAGCAAGCCCAGGAGCTCAGCAGACCGGATCGATCTGCAAGTATCTAAATCCAAGAATCTAAATCTTCCGTGAGGCACTTCTTCTTAAAACAACTCTCCCAAGAGCTGACGTGAAGTACAAGAGCCTCGGGCTGGTTCTGCCACTGACGTGATCCCGCTGTGCAGCTTCAGCATTTAAAGCAAGGTAGTGGAAACCAGGGATGTGGGATGGGGAGGAGGACCTGCCCACAGCCTCAGAGAGGTCCCAGCCTCAGGGGGGTCATGGCAGATGGAGCTGAGCACGGCTCCAGGCTGCGTCCCTGGCAAGGGACATTCACAGCTTTGGCTCAGCACATGTAGCAAGATGATCCCACAGCCCTACCACGAAGTCCTGTGAGATCTGATCCCTTCACACGATGTCTGAGGCTCCGTCTGTGCTCCCCAGCTCCGCGCTGCAGGGTACAGGAGGGTGTTTTTGGCTTGGCCACTTCCTCACTGTCTTTCCTAAGCTTAAACAGGTGTTACCCAGCTCCCAGGGTTGCCTTTCATCTGTGACCAACAAGGACCCATAAATGCTGCGTTTCATCCCATTTCCTTCTTCAGAGACCTTTTTAATTTGTGTGAAGTGACATGAACAACCTTTGCTCACATGCAGGACTTCCCAGTGGTGCAACGCTGCGCTGTGGTACGGGGATCGGCAAAGAAAGCTCATTAGCTCTTGGTGACAGGAGGTGGTCACCGAGGAAGGAGCCTTCTGCTGGCACCTATTGATAAACTGGAGGGAGAGCCAGAAACAGGATGAGCCACAGTCCCTATCCCAGTGTAACCGTGTAGATGCTGCATTTTCATCCCTTGACTGTGGGTCTGAAGCACAGCAGACCCACAGGTATCATGTCCTAGTTGAAGAATGTCAAAAAATGTCACCTTTGTGTAACCTGGTAATGGAATTTGGCTGCAAAACCAGATCAGAAAGGGAACTCTTGCCCATGGAGTAAGGGATGCCACCAGTGAATGACAGAATCACAGAACGGTTTGGGTTGGAAGGGACCTCAAAGATCATCCAGTTCCAACTCCCCTGCTGTGGGCAGGGACACCTCCTACTAGTTCAAGTTGTTCAATGCTCCATCCAACCTGGCCTCGAACACTTCCAGGGACGGAGCATCTACAGCTTCTCTGGGCAACCTGTGCCAGCGTGTTCTGGTTTGAGCTAAACAAAACCAATTCTGCTCAGTGATTTTTACTTTCCAGCTCTGTCTCTTCTAAAGCTCTGCCCTTTCTGAAGGTGGCAGCATGTTTTGCAGACAGGATGTGCTGCCGGCAGTGATAACCCCTGATGTTACAGTCACTGCCTGGCACTGGGATGCAGAAAGGCTCTGGCTGATGCTCATTCCTGCAGTGACGAGGGCCACTTGTGTGCCACGCTGGGGGTGCCGGGAAGTAAGAAAGGTCACAAGGAAGTAAAAGGTTGCCGGGGAGTCACAGACAGGACAGGTGACAACAAGAGTATTCCATTCCATATACGTCACATTTAGTATAAATTGAGTGATCACGAGTTTTCTCCTTTTTCCCTTTTTCTGCAATGGCCGGTGTCCAGGAAGGACTCCATCTGATCTCCTGCTTTTGATCCTGATCCTGAGTTCCTGAATCCAGCTCCCTTTATCCAGCTCCTGCCGCCGCTGAGCTGCCAGCGCTGCAGCATCCATGGGGATCGCTATCAGGTTCGATATCAGACTTATACACGGTTGTATACAGTTCTTTATTTTTATCATTTCACTATTACTTCTATCATTGTTTCATTAAAGCTGTTTTAATTTTCTAACCCATAAGTGTCTCTGCCTCACTCCCTTCTCCTTCCCGTTTATGGGGGACCCTGAAGCACAAAGGAAAAGCTCCAAGCCTGCGATGAAACTCCATCCCCTGCTTCACAAAGCAGCCGAGGCTTCTCCTTGGGGCACGGGAAGAAAATTGTAGCATTAGGGATGTCTTCATTGACACGCACGGGCTTGGTCCTCGGTCACATTTCAGAGGAAGCCATCTCAAGGACATCTTTAAGCCCATTTATGAAAAGGAGTTATATGGGGATTGCCTAATGGGCATTTGGCTCCTTGCACAGGCAGGAGGACAAGAAAACAGTTGTTCCCAACACACGGATAAACCAAGTTTGGGCTCAGTTTGTCCCAGTTTGGACAATGGGACGACCTCTTCCACCCCAGCAAATACCCTCCCGCCTGGATGCTCGAATCACCCTGGTTTGAAAACCGAGGGCTGTCCTGGCAGTAACGTGAGCTCCAGAGAGACGAGGAAGAAGGGAAAAAATAACACTCCCAGCGATCGCTTAGCAACAGCACGGGTTTAAGAGACGTAGCTGTAGTTTCCTGGTAAATAAGGTCCCATGGCTTTGCTCGGAAAGGCTCTCGCCCTTTCCTGCAGATCCTACCCAAAGCAAAATTCTTGCATCACCTGCCTCTGTGAGGTCAACGCTTCTTCCTACAGGCCCTACACAAATAGACTCTCACTTTGTTTCCAGCAGGGCTGAAGGCGATAAGACAGGAGCTCTCCACGCTTCTGAGCTACGGGTTCAAGGGGCATCGAAACTGCCAGCTCCCTCCGGAGACACTTCCAAACCACAGCCACCGAAAGAGTAAACCTGCTGTCTTTAAGACGTGAGGGCATGTGGATCCTGTGCCACATGTAATCCTTCCACCTCAACTGAAGCAAGCGATACCGCGACGACAGGGAAACTGAGGCACTGGCGTACCCAGCAGCCAGGACTTGAACCCCCCACCTTGATGCCTTCGCCAACAGAACTGCTCTCCGTCACTGCTCCACCCAAAAGCAGAGATTTCTTTAGATCCCTGGGGCTACGAAGGACTGAAGTTTAACACTGCATCCCCTGGACAAGACCCCACTCACCTTTTTATCCAGTTTCCTGCCAGCCATGCTCAGGGTAATCACCCTGTTGTCCGAGAGCTCCTGAGCAGCTATCTGAAAGACAAGAGAAGGCTGCGCTCATTCTCAGCACAGAAAGAAAGCGAACACCAAGCCAGGGGAGAGTCTGGGAGGGGCCAGGGGAGGTCAGGGAGCCAGGCCTGGGAATCCACAGTAAGATTAAGCCTCTTGAATGGACAACTCAAACGGAGAATGAGGTGCCAGGACACCCTGAGCAGCCTCCTTCCCCTCTGCCATCAGCTCTAAAATGAAGCTTCCGGCAACAAACGCATCCCTTTTCTTGGGTGCCACACCTGAGCTCGTCTCAGGTGGCTTTTTGTGAGCTGGGACCTCATGAAACCCCCAAGGATCAAGTTAGGAGGAAGCAGAGGCCACAAAAACCACCTTGTCCTCCACGTGCCACCTTGTCCTTCACAGCCCAGGCTGGGCACGGCAAAAAGCAGCCGCCCCATCCCTTGGGGGAGATGCTGGTGGCACCGAGGGCTCGAGCCATGTCTCTGCACGATCGCCCAAGGAGACAGCCCCAAGGAGAAGTCCCTTGTCATGCCTGGGGAGTGGCAGCAGGCAGGGGTGCAGCCTGGATTACTTCAGTTTGAGGGGCTCTGCTCATGTACACTCCAGAAAGGCTTCAGCTGCCAACCACCAGTGGGTCGGTTTTGTCTGGAACGTGATCTAATGAGTCTCTTGGTATTTTAAGAAAGGGAACATTCATAACAGAAAAACACATTTACTCACTTCTGTTACCAGCCATTTTCTGAATCACTTGTCTTTTTTTTTTTCCTTAAGGCTCTGCCCTGCCCAAGCATCTGCTCCCCACCTCTCCCTCCTCCGCTCTCAGGTGTTAGGAGACCCGGGGAGTTTGCACAGACGAGGAGGCCGATGCAGTTTTTTAATTTTCCTGAGCAGCCGGCTGACGGGACAAGGCACAGCTCCCCAACAACCCCCCAGCCTTTCTGTGGTGGACACAACTCTCTGAATCCACAGAGGAACCACTCACCGCTTGCAAAACCCAATTTTCCCCTCTGCTCTATATAGGCCTGAAGTCAGAAGTTGCCTATTGCAAAGCCGTGGCACCGGTTTTCTCTCCCACCCGGTCCTTGGTCACCAAACCCAGCACAAGGAAGAGGAGCTGTAGGGAAGTGGATGAAAATCACCCGTTAGGGCTCACTGGAGGCTACGTAAAAGCCAGACTACGCAGACAAGACAGGTCCATCCTTGTGCCACGCTGCCACAGGTTGTTGCCGCTGGGGGCATCTTCTCTTGGCCAGCATGGACAATGTCAACATCCCCACCGCTGTGCCTGGCAGAGGCAAGAGGTCAGGATTGATTTCTACAAACCTGTTTTGGGATCGTCCCCATCTCTTCAAACCTCACATGATCCCGTCCATCCAGCAAAGGTTTTTCTGCTGAGCAACGTGCTCTGGCGGGAGATGTCCCTGCCCACGGCAGCACGGTTGGAACTAGATGGTCTTTAAGGTCCTTCCAAGCCAAACCATTTTATGATTCACCCCTCTGGCACCTCAGTTAAGAAAAAAGATAACTAGGCAAAACTGAAGGGAATGGGGATGAGGCAGGCAGGGTTTGGCTCCAAACTCCATGTTTTCTATGAGTGAGTCCCAAGCAGAAGCCTGCTCCTTGGCTGGTATCCAGAGCCCCTGCTCCAGCACCGTGCCAAGCGCTGCGGAAAGGTGCCCACCACACATCACCCCGCTGTCAGCACCGAGCCAGGGCAAAATCTTCCTTTTTTTAAAGCGTGCAACCTTTGAACTTGACTGGAAACCTCTCATCCGGTCCAGCTCCTCTCACTCAAGCCTGGGACTTGAGAGCCCTCCCCTCAGGGACAGCACACGGCATCAGCGCCGCTTGCGAACTTCACGGCAGCTTCACCTCCAGTGTTTGAAGACCAACTGCAGCAGCGAGGAGAGGAAAGATGGCCCCAACTTCCAAGCCTCCAGAGCAAACACCGAGGGAGATGCCCTTGCAGCAGCGAGTTCCTGGGCTTTTAAACTGCTTTTAAACCCTTCCAGTGCTTTTAAACCTGTCAGAGGTTTAAGTCCTTGCTGGCGTTTTCTTCCACATCTTTGCTGCCCCATTGAGTATCTCACAAAATCCATCAGGCAGAAGAGATCCAAAAAGGATGGGAGATGTGGCAGAAGGGAAACGTGCCTAAATTTAGTCTTTTCTTTTTAAAAAAACCACTCCATCACTGAAGAGATCCGCAGCGGGAAGGCCACTGCCCGGAGGGGTCTGTGTCGGGAGCAGCGGCT